GGTGAGTACCAGCAACATGTCAAGGCTTTTTGTTTCCTTGGTCTGTGGCATCTGTAAAGAAAGAGGCTAAACACACACACATGCACACACACCCCCCATGCTTCCAACACCTAGTTTCACTTTATTCACTCCAGCATGGTACTACATAGCATACAGATATGGGTCTGAGCTATGAAACCAAAGAGACCACATCCATCACAGTGACTGTCTTCAGTCACTCTAAATTCCATTCTATAAACAATCACTCCTCAGGCTGTTTCGCAGCCCGACCTTGCACTCATGCACACAAACACTCCCTGGCTTGCTCAAGACCCAGGTGCACTATCAGCAATTCTTCTTCTTCTTCTTTAATTATCCACACAGCAGGATCAGGATGGCTTGCAGTTCCAAAATTGTTCCTCCAGAGACAGATGGCCAATAGTTCTTTAGGGCAGTAGTTGGTCTTGTTGGAAAGAATGGACCACTGAGGTTGAAGTATCACATGTGAGTGAATTCCTCAGTGATGCTCTGGGGTCCATTCCTTACCACGCTGTGGCACACAGATTTTCATGAGCACACCCTATTGCAAACACACGTTTTGTCATGGAGGAAAAGCAAAAGAAAAGCAAAAATGCCCTGGCAGTGATTTTGTTTGATGTCCTACAGGAAACAGGGTATGGATTTCTGTCAAGGCGTTTCGAGTGTCATGCATTTAATTCAGGTTGTGTGGATACTCATCCAGCACTCATCACATCCACTAGTAGCACTGCAATTAAGCATAGTGCAATATACCTCCTCCTATCATCCTCTGGTCAGCTCTTGCAAAAGAACCTTAAATCACAGCTCTCCTTTCTTGCCTATTCCCCATCCAGGCAAGGACATGGGACACCGCATCACCAAGAAGTGTTCTGTAGACTGCCCTGAGACAAACGTGAACTTCGGTGTGGCAGCTTATTCCACCAAATGCTGTAGTACCTCCCTGTGCAATTTCAGCGGTGCCAACAGCATCAAGATCAGCTACGCCGTGATGTTGCTGGGAGTTGTGGCTAGTTTGATCTATGTCATCAAGGCAGGATTGTGATAAGGGGTGGGAGAAGATGTGGCAACCCAAGAACCTACAAGGTATTCCCCAGTACCAACCAACATCCTCTATCAAGTGTCTCCCACAGGGTCTATGCTACCTTGCTTATTCCAAGGCACTGCTTCAGATTCCATCCACAGAAATGGCACAGCGGCGTAGCTCCTGTTTTCCCCTTGGTATCACTTGTTGTTTTATACTGATTTTCCCTGGGAATGCTCTTTTGATAGCATGTGTGTGACAATCGCCAGGCAAAATAAAGATTTATGTTATTCTAGAGTGTGTTTGCTATATCCACACTAAGATCAGCCTGAGAAAACAGCTGTACCAGGAAGGGCTCTTGTCTGAATCTCTACTTCACATTCAATTCTTCTTTTTAGCACCTGGGAGTCTTTTCCTGGCTGCCTTTCTCACTTGGCTTTGTTGCATCCAGCAGCTCAAGGCAGACACTCTGTAAAGCCAGATGTTCTGCCCTATCACTCAGTGCTAAGGAATGAAGGTGTCAATCTGGAAATGTCAAAGATGATTGTGTTGTTCCCATTGCAAGCAACGGCAAGAATTGTTTTGTAACTGCTAACACACGGGACTGGGGGTTTGGCAGGTATTGGGTGTGCTCCTGGCTGTGCTGCAAAGTTCCCTGATGGGTGGGTGGTTTTGGTGTCTAAAAGAGGTAAAAGTCCCACCCCAACTTGCTGGAGATGTGCAAGTTGAGATGAGGATGGCACTGCTGGAATATGTCCTCATGGAAAGAGGAATTGTGCTTGGAGAATGTGTTACTGTCTGAATGACTGCTTATGACTTCCCTGCAGGGACAGGGAAAATCGGCTGACAGAGCCTGGCACAGGTAGACGGCTGATCTTCTCCTTCCCTTACTTATTTTATCACAATGAGAACAATCAGTCATTGGAATAATGTCTCCTGATGGACTCCCCAACATTGGACACTGTTAGATTCAGCTGGACAAGACGCTGGGCCATCTAGTCTAAGTCATGCTTTGACTAGAAAGGTTGGCCCAGATGATCCTTGAGGTCCCTTCCAACCTGGTGCTCTCTGAATCTATGATTCCTCTGTCATTGCTGTATTTCTAACCTTGGGGATGGAGGATGCGGGGTGGACATCCCCTGCAACTCTCAGGGTGGAGATCCCCTGCAGCTCTTGAAGCAAACCTATAGCTAAGATGGGCAAAATACATGCACACTTGGAAATGGATGGTGAGTAATTCCCAATTGAACAGCTTAAAGTGCAGCTCTTCATTTTGGGAGGGCTTGTATGGAAGTTGCACCTGGAAAAAAGCCCCTCACATTTGCAGCCTGGCTGGATTTCAGGGGGAAACCTGCTCCACCAATTTTCAGGACAGGCTTCAGAGCGCATGTGCTTCTGTGCAACAGGGATAAATGGCCGCGCTGGCCAAAGGCTGTGAAGATGCCATTAGGTTTAATCATCCTATAAAGATTTAATTTCTGGGCAAGGAGGGTATTTTGGTATTTATTTAAATACAAAATGGGCTAACTGAATTATGATAGTGTTATAGAAGTGCTAAATGCTCCATCCCTGGCAGCGTTCAAGGCCAGGTTGGACAGAGCCTTGGGTGACATGGTCTAGTGTGAGGTGTCCCTGCTCATGGCAGGGGGTTAGAGATGGATGACCTTAAGGTCCTTTCCAACCTAAACCATTCTGTGATTCTATTTCTGTTCTGAAGGACCAGCAGAAACTTGTTTTTTTGCATTTAGCTTTTAATCACTTTTCCCATAGTTTGTCTTATATGTTAATCAGAACAATTTCTGAAATGATTCCCAAAGCATTTAGCCAACCTGAAAATCCACATTTAGTAAAACCCTCTGATTTTCATAATTACTGTTCAAATTCAGCTTGAAAACAGCATATTTACACCAAAAGAAATCATTTGCCCTTCTCACACGACGATTTCAACCAGGGTTAGAATAAGATGAGCAAAACACTCCCTTCTCCACTCAGCGAGTGTTAAGGAATTAAATCTTTACACCACACTCTCCACTTCCAGTTAAATCCCCTGTTACTCTTTCCCAAATCTTCCTGAAATTCGTAAGTTCCAGATACTTGTAAACCCTGATATTATCTTCTGTTTCCTCAGTGCCTTTAATGTCCCTATCATCTGTGTCCTTTCCACCCTATATGTTCTTTTAGGTTTCCCTTACCTGGCACCGGTGAGGGATGAAGATAACTTTATCAGAGGGACACATGGGACCAGCTGGAAGAGTGCAGGACCATGTAATGGAAAATCTCAACTGTCAGAAATCCTGCAATAACTCCTTTAAGAAATAGAGCCTTGTCATCTCCAAATCTCAGCAGCTTGCAGGAGGCAAGAGATATTTTAGGTTTTGCTTGGATGAGACTACGAGGGAGGAGGGAAAAAAACCCAAGTGCCTGGCTGAGCTGCTATTTCTGTACCTGTTAATGGATGCTGTTGGCTGAAATAAAGCTGAATGTGGGCTGCCTCTGCAGTGCAACGGCTGCAGAATGGCATCGCCGTGTCACTAGAGCCCCCTTTCCTGTTAGTACCTCAAGTAGTAGGCAATAAAAGATGATTTACTAATAAAGACACATGAAATCTCTTCTGGAGAGGGGAAAACAAAACATTACACAAGCAAGAGAGGGCTGCATTGCATGGAAGGTGCCAGCTTCTGTTTTCCTCCTGCTTGGTGCCTTACAAAGGCATTGGCCTTTCAAAGCCAAACAACGCCCCTCCTTTGAGCTTTCTTGGTTAATTGCCACCTCTGTTCCAACTGAGTTTCATGCTCTACCTATTGAGAAAGCACAAATTTCCTCACCTTAGTCATGCAGGTTCTCCATACGAGCAATATTTATGCATCCAATTTAGAGGTGTTGGAACGACTTAATCACCTCAAGAACTAACATGCCTTATGGATGAGATAATGACTGTAGGTGGAGGCCAAAATATTGAATGGGAGATGGAAATGTGAGCAACTTTGAGGCTAAAAAGAAAGGGAAATGAAACAGATGGAGAGCAGCATGGGGCAGAGTTGCTGGCAGAGTTTTGGGGCATTCAGGTTGCTCCTGCAGCTACCAGTGTCACGTGAAAGGGATCCAGATGGACCATTTCTGGGACTGTTCCTCCATCCCCACAATCAGATGGCAGAAAGGCAATGGTGGGAGGAAAAAGCAAGAGTAACCAGGAGAAAATGGGAAAGATTCTGGTTTTATGCAGAGAGATAGGATGAAACAAGACAAAAAAGGAGGAATAAAGACCACTGTGTGGAAATCCAGTGGAATGTTCCTATTTGGCATTTCCCATGGTTTTGGCTATAACTTCTTTTTCTGAAGACTTAATGAGTTCAGATCCTTGCCAGGCAATTCAGAAGCCCAAGAAGTGTTAAATGCTCGATCCCTGGCAGTCAGTGTTCAAGGCCAGGTTGGACAGAGACTTGGGTGACATGGTTTAGTGTGAGGTATCCCTGCCTATGACAGGTTGTTGGAACTAGATGATCTTAAAGTCCTTTCCAACCCAAACCATTCCATGATTCTATGACTCCAACCCCTCATTCTCCATGCTTTAACTGGTTTGGGTTTTAGTCCTGATATTTCTTTCTTCATAATTTGTGAGATAGAAATCCCAGCTTGCTCAATATGATGGGAGTGGGTGTTACTTTGTTATTTCTGTTTTTTAATTGAAGTGGTGGTTTTCCTTGCACAGGCAAATGATTTTCCAATAAAAAAACATTTTCCCTCATATAAAATATCCAATGTTTTAACAGAAACATTTATGATTTTGAACTGCTTTCGTAAAATACCCAAAGAATATGATGCCTGCTCCCCTATGAGAAGCAGTAGAATACTCTCTTCTGATCTAGCTGTGTTGACAATCCTGGGAGACATTCGGTAGCTGTTTCAATCCCAATTTCAATTTCAAATTCAATCCATTTCCATATGAACTAAAACAGCATGTGAGGATAGGATCCTTTTGGATGCAGCTTGCTTTGAGACCCAGGCAGGCCTGGAAAGGGAAACATTCCTCTTCTCACGTGGACACTGTTTTGTTTCTGTGCTTTGCTTTTCCTCCACTTCTCCAGAATTAGAAACTGGTGCATAGTTAGCACCAGATGAACAAGCTGCATTGTGAAACAAGTAGGGAAAAAACGAGGGGGGAGAGCATTTGCCTGTTCAGATTTACATACTTCCACATACAAGCGCTGACACGCTCCTCTCAATTATCCCTCATCTGACACAGCAACCCTGTATTTATTATCCCTGCATCAAAGCAAGCACTGCAGAGGTATAAAACCTGCCCTGCATGAGACCTGCTTGTTTTGGAGGCTGCGACACCTATAAAGGATGAAGACTTCTCTTCTTGTCGTGCTTGTCATAGCCCTGTGCACCGAGAGTGGTGAGTCTCCAAGGATTTCTTTGCATTAGTGAGATCCTCAGATCACATCTTTGGTATTGCAGGATGATGAGAGGATTTTGCAGTGTGGATGGCAAAGCTGGAGGATTATTAGGCTCTAGACAATAAGAATGGGTAAGAAGCCAGGGGATATATCCCCATCAGAAGTTGGAAGGATGCTGAGGAGCTGAAGTTGGGAATGAGATATTCACCTCCCCTCATTCATGGAGTCTCAACCCAGCCCTTGGAGTGGCTCAGAGAAGGCAGCTGAGATTCCTTAGTGCAGCTCCATGACAAGGTGGGTTAGCTGGGAAATATAAGAAGGAATGAACAATATATACAATAAAGCTGCAGATTTGACATATTTTCACTTGCTTGTTTGGTTGCAAGAACCAACCAGCATTACCTAATCTGGTAGAGATGGCTGTGCCACAAGAAGATGCAATTCTGTCTCCCATATCTTTCTTGCAGCTTGTTACTTCGTGGTGCAACTTTGCTGATATTGATCTCAGGTCTGGGATGGAGATGTCCCATTCTCATTCTGATAACTGTGGTTTTTAAAGCATACCTGCTTTATAACTCTTTGCAAGTTGTGAAGTTCTGTTCCGTAAATCAAGATGCACTGGGAACCTGCACTTTAGTTTTGCATGAAAGACGGCTGCCTGTGCCTCTAGGATATGCCCTGTTTGCCCTGGGCTGTGGGTCAGGCAAGGAATAGAGGATGCAGCCATGAATATCCCTATGGCTATTCCAGAGGATATGGAATATCTGCTTAATGCCCTAAGCTGGGGGGCTTTTGCCTTGTTGCAAGCTGACTTTGTCAGGCTCTGCTGTAGGGTTTTACCTGCACATTACTGATCATTCTGGTCCTGTTTTAATCGAACACTGAGGCTTGCACTTAATTTGAGGCTGTAAATGTTCTTACTGTGGGACTTCAGAGGCTTTAAACTTGGCATGTGCTAAATCATCGTGATCAATGGGGCTGAGAAAGTGGAGGGCAATAAAAGGATTCTTTTCCTGCAGCTTATCATCAGCTATAATCACATATTTTGAAGAGATCATGTAATGAGGCAGCAAACTTAGCAAAGGAGTCAGTGGAAATGAGCACATTCGCAGCACCACTTTGCTGTGCAATGTAGCCAGAAGGCTGGTTGCTGTTCCAATTAATCCTGAACCTGGCTGATTTTAACAGTGTAAATCCTACATCTGCTGGCACTTGCTAATGCTTTACAAGTTGAAGTTATTTGGCTTGAATTATTCACATGAAGATCTTCCTTGAGGAATGTTCTTACTCAGTGAGAGCAGAGGTCTTGCTAGGTACAGAGAGGAGATACCCGAAGGCAGTCTGGTTTAACCATCCTGAGTGAGATGTGCTGTTCCCTTCCCCACTCAGTCCTTATTGCAACAGATATCTCAATAGATGCAATAAAATCAGAGCCATTTTCAGTAGCATGAGCAAAATTGTCCTATCATCTGACTTCATGTCTTAACATATATATATATATATATATCCGTATACAACCATATACACCCATCCACATCCAAAGTCCTCTGTAGTAAATGGTGAGTCAGAAATTCCTTGTGCACAGAGAGGTTAGCAAAATCACCCTTACAGAGAGCTTGCCCCGTTTCCTGGCCTGAAGGGTCCCAGGGCATCTGGGCTCTGAAATCAGCATCTTTGGGAGGTTGGGATGAAACAGGACTTGGGCATGCAACAAACGCCACTGTTTCCTGCACAGATTAAGGAAGTTCTTGGAATAGGCTTGATTAAAGAAGCTGCATTACTTAAGGAATACAATGAGCTGCATGTCTGGAAAACCCAGTTTGGGGACTCTGCTCTGGTGTATGGTTATTCTGGGAGGAAAGGGTGGGTCCCAGCAGGGTGAAACTTGGATGTTCTTGTCCTGAGTTTGCAAAAGGAAAGAGAATGAAGCCACACGAGTTTGTGTGAAGACGGTGTAAAGGAGGGTCCCAGACTTTAAAATACATATAAATATAGCCTGTACTATCAGAACAACATTGAATACCAGAGCCAGGAAGGACAGTTGAGAGGTTATGGAGATGGAAATGACCGAGGTAGGAACCAAATTGCAATGGTCTTGGTATTAAGTCAGAGCGAGCAGAGTGCCAGGTCTGAAGCTGTTGAAATCATATGGGTGTTGAGCACAGGAAGGGGGGAATAGGATCTGAGCCACTGCAAGCCCAGTTGCCTGGTCTCTGTGTCCTGAGAGAGACAACAGAGTAGGAGCTCTGAGGACTATAGACCACAAGAGGAAAGTGAAGGTCAGTGCTGGGTGGCCATGGAAAGGGAGAAGGAGCTGTTTGTTAGATGGAATGGGGAGAAAAGACACACAGAGAAGGGTGAATAGCACCCTAAAAAGCATTTTTGTGGCTTCCTATACAGTGTCATACTCGGGTCACAGTCTGACCTAGGGACAGGTCTGCACTAGCAGGAAGCTAAGCAAGGCAGAGCCTGTTTGGGCCAGATGAGTTTGTCTAAGGTCAGACAGGGGCAGCAATGAGGTTGGGACATCACTGGCAAAAGCACTAATGATGGCAAATTATTGCATTGAAAAGATGGCAAAAAAGCTCAGACAAAGGAGAAGAAGAGTGACGGAGATGAAGAGCAAGTATGGCAAAGTGAAAGAACAGAGCTGGTACAAGAATAAGATGGGGTTTAATTGTCCATAGATAGAGATATCCTGGAAATGAGAACATGAGTCTGCTCCCCAGTGGGTGACATTACTGCAGGAGTGTTTGCTCCTGATAAACAGAGGAGTAGGAAATTTCCCTTGTCATGCAAAGAAACCTTCCCCAAGGATCTCTTTGCTATGAATGACTGCTTTAGCTTACTGGAGTGCAGGCTGTTTCCATTCATTCCTATTGGCACAGTGCTCTACAGATGCAGTATTAGAGATGTACACATTTTGTTGTATTAGGCAGTCATCTCCCACGGATGGCTGTAAAGAGGGATCTGTTTCAGCCAAGGGAGTGGTTTGCTGAGCCATGTCTTCTAGAGGAGAGCTCTGAAAATGAGTTAGATCCATCTTCACACCAAACACAGAGAAGCAGGTTTAGGTCACTCGTCCCTTATTTGAGATACGTTGTGGGGGGCATGGTCTGTGTGCTCTGAGAAAGGATGTGCAGAGCTGATGACTTGAAGAGGATGTGAAAGGATATGGACAGGAATCCACTGGTTCCATACAAAATTTAGTAGCCAGCGGCTGAGGCTTGGAGGAACAGGTTGGAAAGAACCCACAAGAGCTTCCTGCAGCGACTGGTTGCAGACTGGGACGTGCTTTCCAAAAGCCCACTGGGGATGCCATACATTTAAATCGATGCAAGGGAGACCCAATAAGTATCCAGAAGGAAGATCCCTGGAGTGCTACTAAATGAGCAAGCCACATCAGTGCTAGGAATCTGAGCTTCAAGTGGTTTAGGGCCAAGTTTTGAACACCCAGAAGGTTGTCTGCCTGGGGCCACTGGGCTTGACATCCTCCACCTGCACCAGCAGCACCTGTTTTGTGCTCCTATGGATATTTCTAGATGTGATTTATGGGTTTTGTGTGTTTCTTCTGCAGCTTTCTCCTTGACATGTTTCTCCTGCAAAGATGCTCCTTCCAACCTGCATTGTCTCAGTACGACCACATGCTCTGACCATGAGAAGTACTGTCTCACAACCTACTCTACCACGGGAATGGGTGAGTGTGGAGCTTTTCCAAGGTTCTGATGACAAGATGGGGTTCAGGTTAGGCTGAATGCAGACGCTTCTCCCACCATGAGGTGTGGTGGAAGTGTTCAAGGTGATGTTGGGTGGGGCTTGGAGCAACTTGCTCTAGTGGAAGGTATCCATGCACATGGCAGGGGGTTGGAACTGAATGAGTTTTAAGGTCCCTCCCAATCCAAACCAATCTGGGAGTCTATGGACTAATAGGATCATAGCACACAGAGAGCAAATCTTGCAGCCAGTGGGAACTCAGCATAGCCAATCTCTGTTGCAATATGTCATAAAAATACTGATGCTTAAACACACCCAGGAAAGGGAAAGACTGGAAGAGACAAGATTTCTTTGCACAAAAATCCCTAGACGCATCTCCAAGCTCAAACATATGCTTATGAGATGGTGGAATTGGAAAGGGCCAGGTACTGTGGAAGGAGCAATCCCAAGGCATGGTAACGGTGACGTCTTGCAATATTGCACTATACAAATGCATTAGATCTCCAAATTAGATCTCAGAGAAGTCTGCATAAGGACCTCAGAGCAGCTTCCAATATTGGAAGGGGGCCAACAAGGATGATGGAGAGGGACTCTTCATCAGGGACTGTAGTGATAGGACAAGGGGTGATGGCTTCAGACTGAAACAGGGGATATTCAAGTTAGAGATAGAGAAGTTCTTTACTGTGAGGGTGTTGAGGCGCTGGCACAGGGTGCCCAGAGAAGCTGTGGCTGCCCCATCCCTGGCAGTGTTCAAGGCCAGGTTGGACACAGGGGCTTGGAGCACCCTGCTCCAGTGGAAGGTGTCCCTGCCCACGGCAGGGGTTGGAGCTGGAGGAGCTTTAAGGTCCCTTCAAACACAAACCATTCCATGATTCTATGATTCTATAAATTCTTGCCCTAGGCTGCACTTTGCTGGCACTGTAAACAGCAGAGGAGTTGTAAGGCCTGGAGATGTTCTCCATAGGTCACATACATACAATTAATGAAGCAGTGTGATAAAGCCCAAGAGAAACGAACATGAACAGCTTATTCCCCACTGGATATTATACAGCCAGTCTATCACTGAAATCAGTAAAAAACATATAAAATATATTAAAAATGTATATTATAACACCCCCCCATGACTTTTCTTCTTGTTTCCTCTCTCCCCTTCAGGCAGTGACCGTAACCAGCGTATCACCAAGAGATGCTCTGCCTTTTGCCCAACAATTGACCTGAATATCGGCATAGCTGGCGTTGCTACCAGCTGCTGCGAGACCTCCTTGTGCAACATCAGTGGTGCCAGCAGTGTGAAAACCAGCTACACCATGATAGCACTGGGTGTCTTGGCCAGTCTCGCCTGCATCCTCCGGATGGGTTTCTAAAGAGGTTGGAGGGAGATAAAGATTGCTTGGCCTTGTGTTGTAAGGGATCAAGCTCTCATCTGTACAGTCTGAATGCTGCCCTGTTTCTCCTACCTGGAATGTCGCATCCCATCATCAAATATGCTCTTTCCATGCTCTGATAACAGTGCATAAGAGCACAGCCCTACCTCAAAATGGTGTTTGGAAGGGAAAGGCATGATGTGGAGCCCTGTGTATGCAGAAGGGCATCATATAGTCACCATCTCTCCTACTATTGGCCTTTATAACTCCATGCATATTTTCCCCTTCATTATATCGCTGCCATTCTCTTGTGCCATTTTTTCCCTTTATACTATTTTCTGTAAGATTTTGCTCCGAGGAAGCCTTTAATATTACAGTTGTTAAACAGAAGCTGGGCACAATAAAGTGTTATTTTATTCTATCGTGTGACTGTGTGGTACAGTACATTGGGTGTAGCAGCTGGATGCATCAATGTTAGCAACAGAAGCAGAGGAATTAGTCTGCAAGTGGAATTGATATGATGCTGAAATACATTGCAATTGCTTTGCATTCACTTCAGGAAACCTCTCCCCAGATTATTCTTTTCCCTTGCATTGGTAGAAATGTCATTTTTGTGACTCCAGTTCTATTCTATTTAACTTGCTCTCAGTTTCTCTTCTGGGTCAGCAGGCTGAAAGGAAATGGCTGTTGAGCTCTCCAGCAGGCAAACAGAGGGGGACAAGGTGGGTCCCAACGTGAAGGCATCTTGAGCATTAAGTCTTCTTTTGGAGATCTTCCAGTGGAAATTGCTTTATAAGCATTATGGATTATTTTGAAAGGGAGAAAGTATCCTGCATGGTGCTTAAAGGAAAACCATCAGAAAAGACAGATGGTTTCTACTGTGGAATCTGGAAATTTCAGCTTCATTTATAACAAAATATTAACAATGGAAATAAATCTTTTGTGTCTGCAAATCAAGCGCTCAGCGTGGTTAATATTGAAAGAAATCATTGCCCTGTATTGACCTTCCCTATGGATAATCTTAGGAATGAGAGATTTGCTCATTCAAACCCTTCCAAGTGAGTCACAGGAGGCTGAAAAGCTTTCTCCTGAGCTGAAGAAGCTCTCCTATACCCCAGCAAAGATCTCCCAGGGTAATTAGCTGGGTGCAGCTCACCCAACTGGTTTTCTCTCTATAGCCTCATTGCACAGGGAGAGCAGCTACACGCATTGCTCATCCTGCTGGGTATCTGCTGAGAGCAGAGGAACGCCACTCAGAAGCAGCCCGATCTCTTGTGGTCTCATGGCTTCAGCTCACATTGACCTGCTCTTATCCTGCTTATCCACCCTTACTCCCATCCAGTTCAACCCCAACTATGCATTCCCTGGCTCTTTTCTCTCTCCCAGCCTTCCTCTTTGGCTCTGTTATCCAGGGCTTTGCCTCCAACCTCTATTTTCTTACTAGAGCCTCAGTTCATTTATTTCTCCTTGGTGCAACTGTGAGGTTGGCCAAGAATTTCAGCCATGAGAGCCAGAGCTCAGTCTTTACCCATGAGGCTGTCTGTTGTCCCCATGGCTGCTATTGCTCTGCCATCCCCCAGCTGAGCTAGCTCCAGTCTTCTACCCAATCCAGTTTTCCCTCTCTCCTGCCAGATTTTGAGATATTCAAGTCACACACGCATTTAAACACCTTGAATGGGCCAAGAACTGTTCTGTGGGCTTGGATGGCTGTATTCTGCCCCGTACCCAAATCATAACATGGAAACAACTGAACTATTTGAAACAGGCTTCAGGCATAGTTATCCATGGATTTAGGATGTCTTAAGGACAATGCTAGTGGGCAAAGGAGAGTTGGGGCTAGTAGTGCCGCAGGTCTTGTCCTGCTGAGCTTCTGAATATAGACCTGCTCTTACCATCTAGGTTTAAAAGGTCATGTCTTGTGCTACCTGCACTTGGCAGGTGCCTCTGTTTTGGGCTGGGAGGGAACCTGGCATGTGAAGGAAGGTATTAAAGTGTGTGGGCAAAGGAGACGAAGGCATGTGGTAGAGCCTGCTTCTGCTGTGGAAAGTTCCTCCTTATGGCTGTTGCACTAAGTTAGGAACAGAGCTGGGAAGCCAGGAGTTCCATCCCTAGGGGAGCAGCTCAATCCATGGGCCCCAGACTGGTTTCTTCCTGATCCTATAGTTTTTGCATTCGTTATTGCCCAGCCACACAACCCATGCACGTTTATGTGCAATACTGACCTGCATCTCAAGATAAAGACCCTTACATAAAAGGGTCCTTATCTGGAGATGAGAGCATCAGTTGCCCTGAGGCACAGGAGGTCCTAAACCCATAAACCCTCCCTTGGCAATGGGTGTTGTGTAAGAAGAGACTCATCTCTGCCAGCCTCCCTGAGAAACCCTGATGTGACATCTCCCACACAGATGCTGCTGCCTAATTCCACATCCCTCCTCCCAGGGTTTAGTATCTGCTGGCTCCCATGGTTGCATGTTCCATGCATGGCAATGTTGAGCTGCCCTGCAGAGACATCTGTGGTTTAGGGAGGAAAATAAGCATCTCATTCAAACAGTTGGGATTGCTCCTGGGAGGTGGCCGGCTCTCTCTGTGAGGATTATCTAAGAGCTTGGTTTTCAGTGCTCTGAGTCACTGCACCAGGACCTGAACCTGTCAAACAGGCCTTTCTCTGCCTTTCTCTGCACCTCTAGGAGGTGGTAGAACTTTGGCTTTTCCTTTCCCTCACTCAGGGCTTTATCACCATTGATTCTGAAGGACCTTCTGCTCTCCTTGAATAATTTGGCTGTCTTTTCCCTCACAACAAGAAACCCTTTCCCTTTCTCTTCCCTTATTTGCACAGATCTGATTAATACCCAGTGAGACAATGACAAAGCAAGAGACGACATGAATGCAAAAGGTCAAAGCAAGATCTTTGCTGAGTCTAGAAAGCTTTTGTAATCCATGGAAAGCAAGAAAAGCATCCCTTCCTCAAAATTATCTGGTGCTCTGGTGTCATACAGACACCTCATGGCTCCATTTTGAGTCGCATTCTAGTTTTCACAAATGGGTAGCAATGAGGTTGCTCTTCAGAGACGACTCAGACTCAGCTTCCTTGGCTATTTTGCAGTCTTCCTCAATCTTAATTAGAATCATATCATTGAGTAGGTAGGAAAAGACCTTTAAGATCATCAAGTCCAATCACACTTCTCAATTGGTGTCCCCTGCTCCAAGCACTCCTCCAGGCTGGAGGCTGTGATGCTGGGCAGCTGCTAAGTGTTGCCTCTGTTTGCTTTTGAGTTTCATAATCTGTCCTCTTGAGAAAGAAGGAATGGCTGTGACCAAGTCATTGTGCTGCAAAATTACCCCTCTCCAGATACTGGGAAGAGGTCATGCTCCAGCATTAGTGCACCCAGGTACTAACAAAGATATTAACATCCTGGGGGCAGCTCCCAGATAACGGCTTCATAGAATAATAGAATGGTTTGGGTTGGAGGGGACCTTAAAGCTCCTCCAGCTCCAAACCCTGCCACAGCAGGGACCCCTTCCACTAGAGCAGGGTGCTCCAAGCCCCTGTGTCCAACTTGGCCTTGAACACTGCCAGGGATGGGGCAGCCACAGCTTCTCTGGGCACCCTGTGCCATTACCTCAGCACCCTCACAGGGAAGAGCTTCTGCCTCAGAGCTCATCTCAATCTCCCCTCGGGCAGGTTCAAGCCATTCCCCTTGGCCTGTCCCTACAGGCCCTTGTCCCAAGCCCCTCTCCAGGTTTCCTGCAGCCCCTTTAGGCACTGGAGCTGCTCTAAGGTCTCCCCTTCAGGAGCCTTCTCTTCTCCAGGCTGCCCCAGCCCAGCTCTCTCAGCCTGGCTCCAGAGCAGAGCTGCTCCAGCCCTCTGATCATTTTGACATAGAAAAGCTTTATTTCTACTCAAAGTTCTCTCCTCAACACACGGTTGTTGCAGTGCTGAGGATATTTTAGCCTTACCACTCTTTCAAAGCTGACTTGCACTGTGCCAACATCCTATTGCATGAAGGTTAATGCAGGAACAAACAGATGTTGGCAAAGTCAACATGAGGGGGGATATGGCAATAATTAGAGCACTCTTTCATTCATGGAGGAAGGGAAAAGGAACATACATCACAGAAGTCTGTGGGTTAATTAATAGGATCACAAGAAAGAAGACGGTTGCTTCCTTTTATCCTCATTGCCAAATACCAGCAAGAAAACACACCTACTAATTATGAAGAGCAACCTGTTTATAAGACACTTGGGCAGTAAACTGGATTGCCTCCTGTGAAGCAGAAGATCACCACCAGCTCATCCCCTGCTGACCACCGAAACTCCCGAACACAAGAGCAGGGATGTTTGAGTCATCCCTGCCCATGGCTGGGGATTGGAACTGGATGATCTTAAGGTCCTTTTCAACCCAAACCATTCTGTGATTCTATGCCTATTTTGACATCAAGCTTGAACAACACTGGAATTTACCACCTGATGATGTCATTCTAGGAGCAGATTCAGGAGGGCCTGATAAAGTGTCAAGACTCATATGGATAAGGAAATCAACCAGTGTTGGAGTGATTCATATTAGAAACAGACCAAAATACCCTACTGATGGCTAATTCTAGGGATGTGCCTGTGAAGTTATTCCATAATTACCAGCAAAAGAGAGGGTTTGGCATATTTTGCTTTTACACATTCCTCAACCTGCTGTCCAGGGCTAATCTCACTTTGGAAGAAGCTCCATTGAGATGTCAGCTCAAGGGTTTACAAGATGCATCTTGTGTTAAGGTCTATTTCCTAGCCTGTCAGAAAGAGACTGCAAGAAATCCAGAGGAGAGCAACACAGAGGAATAGAAGAAAAAGGATTGACTTAAGAGGAGAGATTGAAAAGGAGACAGTTTGAGAGATGGCTTTTTTTTTTTTCCAAGTGGAAAAGCAATTCCAGGAGGCCAATGGTTGGTACTGTAAATGGAGTTGTGATTTCCAGAAACCACTGGGTATGGAGGAAAGCAGAGCCGCTAAAGGACCCCTGAAATAGAGGCAAAACTTCATTAAATAAAAAGTATTTAGGGTATTTGAGAATTACAACCAAGAGGAGAGCAAGGAGAGGGATTAACTACAAGTAATGGAAAAATAGAAAGAATTGAGGACTAACATTAACATCTGAAGAAAATCTGTTTAACTAACCATTAGCTAATATCTTTTAGCGTAAAAGACATTGATTCCATTGCGGTTAAACCAGTGTAGGCTGATTAAGTCTGAGCTTCTGCTACTATGGAATAATGAAAGCAAATGAGTGGTATAGATCCTGGTACATCCCATGCTGTCTATCCAAAGGGATAAGGAAAATGCACTGCTAGGACTATCTTCCCATGCCTCCGGGCTCTGCTATTTCATCAGCACAGCTGCTGCTTCTGCTGGAAGGAAGGAAAGGAAGAAGCTTGGAAGAGAAGAGAGCAGATCCTTATTTCCCATCACTGATACAACCGGCAAAGCAAGAAATGTGCTGCTAAAGGGACTTTTCCCCAAGGTTCCATGGGTACCATCATGAACTCCCACATACATATTACACACCCTTGGGTTGATTTCATGTCCACCTGTGAGCCATCTGGAACCTGTAAGACTGCTGCCATTCAAAAGGTATATAACCTGCCCTCCAAAAGTCTTCCCAGTCCAGCTGAGAGGATCTGGTGGAGATGAAGACTGCTCTTGTCACCTTGCTGGCTGCTGTCCTGTGTGTGGAGCAAGGTGAGCCTCTCATGTTGCTACTAGTTCAGATAAGGGTTGTAGATGGTGAAGGGGTTTAATGCGGCAGAAATTTAGTGAGCTGTCCCCAACTTTGCAGTATTGCATCGTTACAGCCATGCTGTCATCAGCTCCCTTTTGTACCTTGACGAGTAGCTTCAGAACTAAGAACTTGATAGACTAATTCTTCTTTACAGCAGGTAGTACTGAGTGAAAGAGCTCTAATGGTACAGCACTGGATGCCGGGTTAAATCCATATAGTCTATGGGATCTTCCCAAATGGTGCAAGTTGGAATTGTCAGAAAGCATAACATAGATTTACTTATGGTTTTACTTACGGATTTATTTATCCATGTCAGGTTTTGAGTATTTAATAAGTATTATTGTACAGAATTTTCTGTACTGCTTCTTCCTCCATGTGGTTTGCCATGTGCCTTGCTTCTCAGGAAACACAACAGTGAGAATTCTTATAGATGAAATCAGAGGCAGAGGTGAAATTGCTTTTCTATGCATATGTCATGTTAAAGGCATCCTTCTCCCAAAGGGAAGTCTGAGCTACTCTGAATGTTACCCTCCTTCTGGGACTGATCCGCGTGTGTTGCTACATCGCTACTTGCACATAGGAATCAGGACCAGATTGCCAATATTTCCCCCACACCTGATGGTATCCCAGAAACCATGATACATATCTAGCAGGGGTTGAGAAAGAGGCATCTAATTAATTCTTGCTTTCTGATGTATCAAGCCCCTACTCCTACATTTTATGGACAGATGGTTCTGCAGCAAGTCTGGAAGATCAGAAGCTTCAGCCAGTTTTGGGGTGGGAAAAGTATTGAGTTCTTAAAAAAGGAAAGGATTTTGTGCCTGTAATTCCTGGATGCAGTGACACAATATGGACAGAGGAGAGTCATCATCAAAGGCAACGTCCTCAGTGTTACCCAGGCTTAAGTAGAAAGCTAATAGAGATCCAAGACTCTGGTAGCACATAGAATCATAGAATGGTTTGGGTTGGAAAGGACCTTAAGATCATCCAGTTCCAACCCCCCTGACATGGGCAGGGACACCTCACACTAGACCATGTCACCCAAGGCTCTGTCCACCCTCACCTTGAACACTGCCAGGGATGGAGCATTCACCACTTCTCTGGGTTCTCTGTACCAGCGACTCACCTCCATCACAGTAAAGAACTTCTGCCTTAGATCTAACCTGAACTTCCCCTGTTTCAGTTTGAACCCATTATTCATGGCAGGATAGCTTATTGCTATAGTGGGCTGATTATGTTTTATGTTGGCATCAGCTTCCAAATGGACTTAAGGGCAGTGTTTTACTGGGCACCTTTCTACAGCCCAGTCTAGATCACAGAAAGCTGGTCATTCTAATATCAAGGCTTCCATATTCAAGATTAAGAGATTGCAGCTATCTGGCCTAGCACAGGAACAAAGCAAAACTTGGAGATAATGGTTATTTGATCCTTCTCATGTATCTGGGATCCCCGATAAGACCCTAATAAGCAATTTTGGATCAAAACTGTTGGTCTCTCAACCTCCCAAAGAGGATCTGTTGCCATTTGCATCCAGGAGTTCACCAAAAGGAGTGTGACCAGCAGGTTGAAGGAGGTGATCCTGCACCTTTATTCTGCTCTCGTGAGACCTCACTTGGAGTATTGTGTGCAGTTCTGGTATCCTCAACATAAAAAGGACATGGATCTGTTGGAACAAGTCCAGAGGAGGCCACGAGGATGATCAGGGGACTGGAGCACCTCCCATATGAAGATCGGCTGAGAAAGTTGAGACTGTTCAGCCTGGAGAAGAGAAGGCTGAGTGGAGACCTCATAGCAGCCTTCCAGTATCTGAAGGGGGCATATAGGGATGCTGGGGAGGGACTCTTCATTAGGGACTGCAGTGATAGGACAAGGGGTAATGGGTTAAAACTCAAACAGGGGAAGTTTAGATTGGATCTAAGGAGGAAATTCTTTCCTGTTAGGGTGGTGAGGCACTGCAATAGGTTGCCCAAGGAGGTTGTGAATGCTCCATCCCTGGCAGTGTTCAAGGCCAGGTTGGACGAGGCCTTGGGTGAGATGGCTTACAGCGAGGTGTCCCTGCCCATGGCAGGGGGGGTTGGAACTTGATGATCTTAAGGTCCTTTCCAACATTAACTACTCTATGATTCTATGAAATTGGACATTAGGAAAAATTTCTTCACCGAGAGGTTAATCAGGCATTGGAGCAGGCTGCTCAGGGAGGTGGTGGAATCACTGTCCCTGGAAGTGTTCAAAAACTGTCTTGAGGAAGCCCTCAGTTTAGTGGTGGTTTTGGTGGTCCTGGGGAAATGGTTGGACTTGATGATCTTAAAGGTCTTTTCCAATCTAGTTGATTCTATGATTCTATGATTACCATGTAGATGAGGCCCTCAGTGATATGGTTTAGTGGTGGTTTTGGCAGTTCTGGGGTAATGATTGGGCTTGATGATCTTAAAGTTATTTTCCAACCTGGTTGATTCTATGATTATATTATGTCCAGAAGAAACCTTAAAAGGTCTTAATCCTTTTCCCTGCTTCAGTGCTGGACCAAACCAGGCAGACGTTGGTCTAATGTGTCCTTGCTAGTTTCCAACAAAGATTCCACAGCCTGTAAGTGCTCAGGCTCATCCTTTTAGAAAATTAGTATCTTAACATCTCTTTTTGTCCAGTGCTGTGCTTTCATCATAGGATGTGTAGAACGCTTCGTTACTTTCTTCTTTTCAGCTTATTTTGCTTGCATGAAGAAGGTTACTTTGTCTTTCCTCTGGATTTTGTCACTTTTAATAAGTGAACTAAACATTTCCAACCTTTTCTACTAGGTCACATTTTCAAGATCACCGACCATGTCTCCTCCCTCTCCTCTGGTCTCTCTCCAAATGCTTTGCATAGTTTTTGAAGTGCTACATACAGATTTGGTCACCAGCGTTCCAGCCAAGGCCTTGCCAGGGTGGAAAGGCCACTTTGCATATCTTGCACATGACATTGCTGCTCATGTTCTCTTGGGTGACGTTTGTTTTCATCGCTGCAGTGTGACACGGTTGACTCCTGCTGTTTACACCACAGTCCTTACTTATAACTCAAACATTTGTTCTTCATCTGACATTTAAGTGTCTCACTTTTATCTTATTGCAAAATATTTCTTTTTGTTGAACTGAATCCATTCTTTTTTTCTTTCTTTTATTGCACCAATCTGTCAAAATCACTTAGAACTCTACTTGCAGTCTGCTTTCAGCTATTTTGGCTGTAGCATCAGCTGAAAATATGATGTACACTGCCAGGGATGATGCATTTACTACTTCTTTGGGCAACCTGTGCCAGTGCCTCAGCACCCTCACAGTAAAGGACTTCTTCCTTATATCTAGTCTGAACTTCCCGTTTCAGTCTGAACCCATCACCCCTTGTCCTATCACTCCAGTCCCTGATGAAGAGTCCCTCTCCAGCATCCTTATAGCCCCCTTCAGACACTGGAAGCTGCTCTGAGGTCTCCACGCAGCTTCTCTTCCCCAGACTCAACAGCCCCAGTGTTCTCAGCCTGGCTCCATACGGGAGGTGCTCCAGCTCTTGATTATCCTCGTGGCCCAGCCCTAATTATTCTATGATTCTATGTGCATCCTCTATCCCATCCCTACACTCATTAAATGATGATACTATATAGACCTGAGCCCAAGCAGACCTCTGGAGAACCTTATGAGTTGCATTGCTTCAGCTGGTTGGACCAATAAATAACCTTTGTGAACTACCCTGTGAGGGTGTTTTCATGTCTGGCTTTGCACCCATTCTGTTGTATTTATTTCCACTCTCTTGTTTCCTGGGCTTGAGCATAACAATGTCATTCAAGTTTTGGCAAAATGCTGCATCTCCTCTATTCTGTACAGGAAGATTCAACTTTCTTACTGCCAACTTCTTGTCAGGCAAAACTGCACAGACAGGAAGGTTTCCCCTAGTTGCTTTCTGCCCTTTCCATACTGGCAGACTCTCCCCAGACTTACCAGGAACTTAGCAAGCATTCAGCACTGTGTTTGCTTCCCTTTCCAAAAACATCTGTGTTCTTACAGTAACTCATCCCCTCTCCCACACACACAAACACATGCAAAATTTTGCTCTGGGTGATTTTGCAAGCTCAGAACCAAACCACCACCATAAAACCTTTAAATCTGCCTTGTTGGGGAGTGTTCTGCCGACACTGTCGTGTGGTTTCTCATCCAGACTGTGTTTTGCTCTTCTTCCTTTTTATCACTACTTTACAGAGGTCTGTCCTACCACCTTCTGGATTTGAGGGTAAGTATATACATTCTTGACAGGAAAACAACTCATCGCTGCCTGCCCTTCATCGTCTTTATTACACATGTATGAATTGTCTCAGCAAACCTCCATTTACCAGTTAAACCATCCTTTTGGTTAAGACTTCCCATTTATTTTCTATCTCATAGTAGTATGCAGAAGTTCAGCGAAGCATCTGACTACTCTCAGCAGACTTCCTAGGACTGAGGTTAGGCCAGTTCAGGTAGTGGCGTTCAACCACAAGAAAGGATACGTGACAGTAATCTCTGAGCCAAATGAAAGACAAGTAGGACACTGGGCATTATCCACATTGAAATGTTGCAGGCATCCTCAAGTTCTCCCTAGCAAGCCCTACCTAAGTTTGTAAAGGAGAAGCAACTGAGTAGTAGTTGGCAATTCACGTGGCAGAGCCCTTGGGACAGAGAAGCTATTGCTCAGTAACAATCTCCATCATAAAAGACCCCAAATCCTTGAATTCCACTCACATCTACTGCTGCCAGAGGTTGCAAACAGATCGATAACACTTTGCAGTCTGAGACGTACGAGACAGAGAGGGATTTAACTGCTGCCACAGGTCAAGGGATAAAGAAAGTCACTGGTCATTCACACAAGCATTCATCAGTCTATAACAAGAAAAAAGAAGATATCTAGATTGTAGGGATTGTGGTTCCTAAACCATGTAATGTGCTTTTTCTCTGTTATTTTTTTCTCCTAGCTTACTCATTTATGTGCTATGTGTGCCAAGAACAGGAGTCCAACAAGGACTGTTTGACCATTTCCATGTGCCCAAAGGAAGACAAATACTGCGTGACTATCCGTAACAACATTGGAACAGGTACATTACTGAACACCGCCTTGTTTGTGCTGTGGAAGAACAGTCCTAGGAATGGGCTCTCATCCCAGCCTTGGCCACATATGGAAACAATAGCTCATGATCACCAACAATTAGGAACCATCCACCTTGTTGCTCACTGTTAGAGTCACTGCAGTGTCATTATATGTTTATGTTGTTACCAGGAGTTGGGGAAATGGAAGATACATAGCAGCAACAGAGTGATCTCAAGCCTGGGGGTCTGTGCACTGCTTCATTGGTAGCTTCCCCCCAGCTTTCTGCTGACCCTAACCATAGAATTATAGAATCATAGAATAGTTAGGGTTGGAAAGGACCTAAAGGTCATCCAGTTCCAGTCCCCTGCCATGGGCAGGGATACCTAGCACTACACCGTGTCACCCAAGATTGCCACGGCAATATTCGCTCTCAGGGTTGTTTCCAAAGAAGTTTGGGCATAAGAAGAGGGCCATAAAGATGCTCAGGAGTCTGGAGCAGCTCTGCTCTGAAGCCAGGCTGAGAGAGCTGGGCTGGGTCAGCCTGGAGAAGAGAAGGCTCCTGAAAGGGAGACCTGAGAGCAGCTCCAGTGCCTAAAGCGGCTGCAGGAAACCTGGAGAGGGGCTTGGGACAAGGAATGTAGGGACAGGCCAAGGGGAATGGCTTGAACCTGCCAGAGGGGAGACTGAGATGAGCTCTTAGGCAGAAGCTCTTCCCTGTGAGGGTGCTGAGGCGCTGGCACAGGGTGCCCAGAGAAGCTGTGGCTGCCCCATCCCTGGCAGTGCTCAAGGCCAGGTTGGACACAGGGGCTTGGAGCACCCTGCTCTAGTGGAAGGGGTCCCTGCCCATGGCAGGGGTTGGAGCTGGATGAGCTTTAAGGTCTTTTTTAACCCAAACCATTCCATGTTCCTATGTAAACTGCACCATGGCTGACTCCCTCTGCCATGTAAAATCCTTCAGATCTCTCTTTTGGGCTCTGCACCCTCAAAGACCTCCGTGTGCCCTCAGGACAAATCTCAGGTCATGCAATATATTTTCCCTGGTTTTATGCAGAAGGAGAACCATATTAGAGATCAGAAACCCAGCACAAGCACCATTTCAGGCAACTTGAACTAAAAGCCACCCATTCATGCATCTACTACAGGGACACATGAAACATGGAGCCCAGGGAAACCAGCATTATGGTGCAGCAATGTAGACATGGCCAGACTGTTGCTAGTCCTGAGCAGAGGATATATTTGCCTTAGGGACATGTGCCTACCCTTCCCTTATTCACCAATGCAGATTTAGCCATGGAAACATTTAACCATGATTCTTACATTCTACCCTTTCTTTTTTTCACCCTTCTCTTCTGCATTAGAGCCCAACAAGCCTAAATACGTCATCTCTAAGATGTGCTCTCCAACGTGTCCTGCAACAAGCCAGCAGCAAACCCCACACTATCAGAGGGTTTCTTGCTGTGAGAAACCATTATGCAATGTGAATGGAGCCAGCAGCAAGCAAAGCAGCTATGGAGTGATGTCCCTAGGTGTCCTAGCCAGCATCACTTACATGTGGACTGTGATGGATTAGGAAAAACTCTCCATGATGGCTTTGTTGGCTGAAATAAAAGCGTGTTGCTCTGGGATAACTGCTGCTATCAAAGAGTTGTGCTTTGAGAGAATCTAAACAAGTTGGGTGCTGAACTCCCATTGATTTCCTAAGCCTGCTTGAATCTTAAGTGTCCCCAGATATTCAAGTCACCGAAGGAAACAGACAAAAGACAGACTTCTTGGCATGTTTGGGCTTCAAATCATTACAGCTCTGAAGAGATGCTCTAAGACATATTTTTGTCTCTTAAGGTTTCAAAGAACTGTACGGAATAACAACCCAACCTGCCTGAAACACGGGTAATGGCTCAATAGTTATGTCAGCACTTCAGTATCTTCTGTTCACAGTCAGTTGGTTATCACAGATCAGTCAAGCAGGTCAAAACCAAGTAAGTAAAGGTGAAGCTTATTCCTGGTAGTAGTTTTGACATTCCAGCCTCAGTGAGGAGCAATTTCTGGCTCCACTGGTTCTTTGCTCTCATTTTGCAATGAGCATCCTTTATCGCCCAGCTCCAATGTGTTGGCTGAGCTTAGGGAAAAGGCAGAGGGCAGCAAACGTGTCTGAGAGTCAAAGGCAGCAGCAGGGTATGAGTAAGGAGATGGAAGGGAGAAGGGAAGCAGCAGGGTGAGCACTGTGCTGGAAGTTGCCTGCACACTTGCTCCTCATGGACCTGATCCAGCTGGAAATGATGTCCCCATATCTATTTCCTTCTTCCCCTGCAGGGCCAAACCAACCTGACAGCAGTTGCCAAGCCCAACCATTTAGTTGAGATGGCTTCTACAAAACCACGTTCCTGGCCTAGAAATGGCTGATTGTGCTGGGCTTTGTCTGGTTTTTGCTCCCTCCTCTCCCTGAGAGAGCTGCAGCTGAAGGGAAGGCAGAAAAGCTCTGTAGGAGACATAAGGGTGTCTACAGAGAAGAAGAAGGGCAGGCGGCCAGCAATTAACACAAACAGCCCAGAGCTTCTCAATCATATCCCTGTGCAAGCTCTTATTCTGGAAAGCAAAACAAAGTGAGTTGGCAGCATCGGTAGCTCAGCTGTGTTATAGGGAAACCAGAACTTGTCCAAACAATCAGAGCGTGTTTCTCTTGCGTGTGTGGGGGGCATTATTGTTGTTGGTGCTGTATTTTGTCTGTTTGGGGGTTTCATTTTAGTTTTTTTTGGGGGGGGGGATGGCTAAACATGGTTTGTCTGAAGCACTGCCTTGGAATTCTGCTGTGTTTTGGTTGCACATGTGGAAGGAGGCACATACAATCATAGCATAGTTTGGGTTGGAAAGGACCTTAAGACCATTCAGTTCCAAGCACCTCCCATGGGCATGGACACCTCACACTAGACCACGTCACCCAAGGCTCTGTCCAGCCTGGCCTTGAACACTGCCAAGGATGGAGAAATCACAACTTCCTTGGGCACCCTGTGCCAGTGCCTCAGCACCCTCACAGGGAAGAACTTCTTCCTTAGATCTAACTTGAACTTCCCCTGTTTCAGTTATTTCAGGTACAATAAGTCCCTCCCCAGCATCCTTGTAGGCCCCTTTGAGATGTTTCACATGGATTATAAAGCAACTGGTTTCCCAGGAGGACAATCAGCTAAAGATGCTCCATCAGCTTCATGTTTCATATTGTAAACCCTGAAGCCTGCTGCCTGGTTTTTACATATTATCTTCAGTGAACAAGAGGGAAACAAAGCAAGTGAAGGAGGTGACACCACAGCGTGGGGCAGGGACAAGAAGATGCTGACTCCCATTGATCTGAGTGGTGACCCATATGCAGAGATGACAGATGTCAAAAGGGCCAGGTGTGAACGTGCTAGCAGAACACATTGATTTTTTCTCTCACCAAAGACAGCCACAAAAGAGAAGGAGAAGGGGAAGGAAAAGACTTTTTAAACCAAAAGGAAGGTAGAGATGTCCGGCTGCTATGGGCATGGGCTGGCAGCACTGGTAGGGGCTATGGTCATGCAGTATCCCAATGCCATGAGCACGTGCTCCACAAATACTCCACACAGAAGGAAGACATTTCTTTCCTGAAAATACATTGTGTGCTTTCAGAAGCCTCCAGGAAAGGTGGGCTCAGGGCCAAAGCCGTTGCTGTCTTAACCACCAGGCAAGCTGGCACAGGACAGGGGAAGCAGAAGGAGCAATTGATATCTCCACCAGTTTCAGTGGATGTGGCAAGGCTTGGTGGTGAGACCAGCTGGTGGGGAGGAAATGAGTCAAGAGAAGTCCATTGAGGCTGGTGGCATGTGGGGGACCAGGATGAGCAGAGAAAATGAGGGAGAGCAAACCTCACCCGTGTCATAGAGCAGTAGAGCGGGAATTGCTGCAGGGTTTGGAAGGAGAGATGCTCTGCTCTGAGTCAAGGTGACTGACCATGACTGAGGACTCCCTTTTGTGACGTTCCACTTCTCCATTGGGATCCATGGCAACTGGGCACTCTAAGGAAGCTGCTTGGTTCTGCTTACAGGGACTTTCTCCTGCCTGCAGATTACTGCATGCATCATACCCCCTTGCAGGCCCTTATTGCCTCGCTAGCCCTTCCCCTCCTCTTCACTACACCAGTGCAAGTGCTGCCCACTGATAGCACCCAAACGGATGTTGCCTCCCACCAGATAAAATGGACAGAGGGGTTCCTGGGTCTCCTTATCCAGAAATATAGAGGAACCCTTTCTTTTCTGGAAGTTTCTGGATGCCAAAGCACCTGATCATACCAGGATTATGCTGATTGATTCTTTGCAGGTTTGCACTGAGTTTAAAAGGATTTACTCATTGCATTGCCAGTCATGCCACCACCCATCCAGTTCCTGGACTGAAAGCCCACTGTGAATGAGGAGCTGAAGGTCTCTGACAGTGAGTATGGGGGTAGGATTTAGGAATGGACTTTGTCAGAGCTGATGCTGTGAGTGGGAAATCACTGAAACTCTTTCAAATAAAGAAGAAATAGGAACACTTAAAAGCTGTCCTTGATGGGGGGGGTGGGGGTGAGAAATGGGGTACATGTTGGTCTGACTTCAGGGTCAAAGCTCCCTTTCCACACTGGTAGCTGTGGCTAGAGGAAGGTGCAGGTAGAAGATCAAAGCTCCTGTGGTGTAGGAGCTTAGGCACAGCCAACTCTCTCCTTCCTCCATGGGAAGAATCAGTCACATTCGCCTTTTCAAACGAAGCTGCAATGTGAGGATTCATTGGTGATGCCCTCCAGACTTAGTTGTTCTTGTAAGAAGACATCCAGGGGATGGTTGGAGGTGCAGCTTCGACACAGGATTCTCACAACAGCATTGGAGCTGCACATAGAGAGTCAGGAGATGTGTTTCTGCTTCCAGCCTGGAGTATGTGCAGAGTAAAAGGGTAGTCAGGTATGGAGACACTAACCACATCTAACACAAGAGTAACAGAGCTACTTTGCTGCTGCAGATGTTCATGTTAACATGGATCAGCCAACTAACACATCAAAAGCAAGAACATTAAAATGAATCAAGACACAGATGTAAGCAAATCAAAGGTGGGGTTTTCACTATGAATATGCACATCCATGAGGGATATCAGCCAAACTATGTGGTTTCCAGGCATGGAGATATTGATATAAGGAATATTTGGCTTCTGTTGTAGCCACCAAACCCATCCTGTTTCACCTGCTCCTGTTCCTTTGCAATAGGGGAATTTGGGTATCTAAGAAGATTGGATACCACCAAGTGCAGGATACCTAGAATAGTTAGGGTTGGAAAGGACCTTAAGATTAACCAGTTCCAACCCCCTGCCATCATCATAGAGAATGGGGGAAACACTGGGGACATACAGAAGAGTCAACCCAGACCCTAGTCTTGGAAAAACACTCTTAAATATATCATCACACAATTAGCAATGTGCGGGTGCTATCAAAGAGATGGGGCTGAACAGCAAGAACTCTGTGACAGATGGGTGTTATTCCCACCTGTGACAAGCTGGCAAAATCCTGGGATAAAAGTGGTACCTGTCACATAGCTCAGTGTTACTAAAGCTTTTGGCACCGTATCGCATGACAGTCTCATCAGCACAACTAAACACACTGTCTAGCTGAAATCATGAGCAAATAACTGTCAACAGTTTGCTGTCAAGCTGGAATGATCTATGAAACAAGGTCTTCTGTGGCTTGGCACGGCTCTGGTACGATGCAATGTTTTAATTACCAGCTTGAATGATGGATTAGAGAATAAGTTCATGGAGCTTGAGGGTGACAAAGGGAGAGAATCTGCAAAGAGGAGAGTTCTGAGTGATGCAGGTAAATGGAAGCAATGGTTTGAGGAGGATGTAGTTCAGGAAGGACAAACGCAGATCTCTAGCACTAGCATGCATCAGCACAAATGCAGGAGGAGGATATCCCCCTTGCAGCAAGCTGTCAGAAAAAGAAGCTGCAGTTTTAACTGGTCACAGGTTTAACACGTCAAACAGGGAAAAAACTAGGAAAAATAGGGTAGAATTCCTTTTTGGAGTACTACAATCCATTGGAAGGTCTTACATATTATACTAGGAAGTGTAAACTAGTGTGTGATGGGGTGAGATCCTTCCAGTCTCTTCTCCAAAGGGAAGGCCTAGGCACCTCCATTCTCCCCCCTTTTTTGCTTTAGGGTTCACACAGCATCAAAGGAGCTTTTGGACAGGATCAGAAAGACTTCCTAGTGTCTAATGTATGGTAAAGAGATGGAGAACTGACTCGAGCATCAGCAGCTTCAGCATTGTTACCAAGATGTATCAAAGCACGTGAGAAAAATACTGCCCTCAGCATCTTACTGGTGTCTCCACTGTGGGATGAGAACGAACTCAGTTGCCTCTCCTCTCAGTCTCCTTTCTCTCATTCCCATGTACCTGTTGTTGGTGCTTCACAAGACTAGAATCGGGATGTTCAGGCTTGACTTTTTATCACAGAATCATGGAATTGGGTTGGAAGGGACCTTAAAGCTGATCCAGTTCCAACCCCTGCCACGGGCAGGGACACCTTCCACTAGATCAGGGTGCTCCAAGCCCCTGTGTCCAACCTGGCCTTAAACACTGCCAGGGATGGGGCAGCCACAGCTTCTCTGGGCACCCTGTGCCAGTGCCTCAGCACCCTCACAAGGAAGAGCTTCTGCCTAAGAGCTCAGCTCAGTCTCCCCTCTGGCAGGTTCAAGCCATTCCCCTTGGTCTGTCCCTACAGACCCTTGTAAAAAATCACTTTCTGATGGCTTGGAAGGTACAAGATCAAATGTCCCCACAAAACACAACTATTTCTGACAAAGAGCCGAGTGGCTGATGGTAGAGGAA